TTTCGGCAAGGGCCGTCGTAAGGAACAGCTTGCAACTAGGATTAATCGGTACGCAACCACCGCTCCTCGCGGGACTCTCTCCCCCTAGCCTGAACCATTGCGCATACCACAGAGACCTCCATCTCTTCCCCCCTCACCTTGATGAGACTCTTTTCCAACTCTCTTTAACTCTCTTTGCAAGGACGTCAAGGCCGTGAGCGCCTTCAACGTAGACTCTGGAACTCCGCAACGTTCCCACCTTTTGGTACAGCGCTCCACTCGCCAGCTGATCGAGCCGCGACACATCTTCACATCCCGCCGTCATGGCGAGCCTCTCGGCACCCAACGCCTACCTGGGCGAGAAGCCCAAGTCTCGTAGATCCAAGTCGCGTTCCAAGTCGCGCTCCCCAGCCCCGAACGGCCGAAAGCAGCCCAACACACAGCAGCAGAAGGTCCAAGGCTACACTTCCGAGGGAGTGCAGGACCACGATATCTTCAACCTCCCTGGCTCGGACTGGTCACTGCTGGCCGTTTTGACCTTCATTGCGGCCGGCGTTCGACTCTTCCGGATTTCACAGCCTACCAGTGTTGTCTTCGATGAAGTTCAGTAAGTGTGGTCACTATACAACGAACTCAACAGACATGTTGGCTGACTGATTCCAGCTTCGGTGGGTTCGCATCGAAATACATTAAGGGCAGATTCTTCATGGACGTCCACCCTCCGCTCGCGAAGCTCCTCATTACACTGGCAGGATGGTTGGGTGGATTTGACGGAAACTTCGACTTCAAAGACATCGGCAAAGACTATCTGGAGCCCAAGGTCCCATATGTCACCATGCGCATGCTGCCCGCTATCTGCGGAGTGTTGACGATCCCGACCATGTTCCTCACCCTCAAGGCCGCGGGTTGCCGTACTACCACTGCGGCCCTGGGCGCTGGACTTGTCATCTTTGGTAAGAAACACTTCTTGGGAGGTGTAATGTATACTGACTTCTTGTAGATAATGCGCTCGTCACCCAGTCCCGCCTTATCCTACTCGACTCGCCGCTCATCATCTTCACGGCCGTCACCGCACTCGCCTGGACAAGCTTCATGAACCAGCACGAACAAGGACCCTCCAAGGCCTTCCAGCCATCTTGGTGGTTTTGGTTGGCTGCTACCGGTGTCGGACTCGGTGCGACAGTCAGTGTCAAATGGGTCGGCCTCTTCACCATCGCCTGGGTTGGTAGCTTGACACTGGTACAACTCTGGGTTCTTCTCGGAGATACCAAGAACGTCACGCCGCGCCTGTGGTTCAAGCACTTCTTCGCTCGCATGTTTTGCCTGATCGTCATTCCCGTCTCGTTCTACATGGCCATGTTCGGAATCCACTTCATCTGCCTGGTCAACCCTGGTGAGGGTGACGGCTTCATGTCTTCTGAGTTCCAGGCGACACTGAACTCCAAGGGCATGCAAGCTGTTCCCGCCGACGTCGCTTATGGAAGCCGTGTCTCTCTACGCCACTGGAACACTCAAGGCGGATATCTCCATTCTCACAGCCACATGTACCCCACCGGTAGCAAGCAGCAACAGATTACCCTCTACCCCCACAAGGACGAGAACAACATCTGGATCATGGAAAACCAGACTCTGCCAATCATGCCTGAAGACTACACTGGCCCAAACCTCACAAGCCCCAAAGCTTGGGACAACGTTGGCCCTACTTATATTGAAGATGGCGGTGTCATTCGCCTCTACCATATCACCACCGACAGACGCCTCCACTCGCACGATGTTCGTGCTCCTGTTACCGAGGCCGACTGGCAAAACGAGGTTTCTGCCTACGGTTACGAAGGCTTTGAGGGTGATGCGAACGATCTGTTCCGCATTGAGATTGTCAAGAGCAAGTCTGATGGAGCCGTGGCAAAGAAGCGCGTCCGAACTATCCAGACCAAGTTCAGGCTTGTTCATGTCATGACTGGTTGTGCGCTATTCTCACACAAGGTGAAGCTCCCTGACTGGGGTTTCGAGCAACAAGAGGTCACTTGCGCTCGGCAAGGCACATTGCCCAACAGCATCTGGTACATCGAGGGCAATGTTCACCCCTTGATGGTAGACGGAGAGGTCGAAAAGGTCAACTACCGCAACCCCGGATTCTTCGGCAAGTTTTGGGAGTTGCAGAAGGTCATGTGGAAGACCAACGCTGGCCTTACTGAATCGCACGCCTGGGATTCGCGCCCTCCATCGTGGCCCATTCTACGCCGCGGTATCAACTTCTGGGGCAAGCATAATCGTCAGATCTATCTTCTGGGTAACCCGGTGATCTGGTGGAGCTCGAGCGCGCTCATCGCTCTCTACATCGCTATCAAAGGCTTCGCCATTCTCCGTTGGCAGCGCGGCTACCGTGATTACAACAACGTCACCTTCAAACGTTTCGACTACGAAGTTGGCATGAGCATTCTCGGTTGGGCTTTCCACTACTTCCCATTCTACCTGATGGCGCGCCAGCTGTTCTTGCACCACTACCTGCCCGCTCTGTACTTTGCCATCCTTGCACTTTGCCAGATCTTTGACTTCGTGAGCTACCGCTTCAGTGTCTTTGGTTTGAGGCAATACCCCGCGATCGGCCAAGCAGCGGCTGTCGGTTTCCTCGCTGTCGCTATCACAGTCTTCACTGTATACTCTCCCCTAGCATACGGCAACGCATGGACCAAGGATGCTTGCAAGAGCGTTAAGCTGTTCGACACTTGGGACTGGGATTGCAACAACTTTCTAAACTCTGTAAGTTCTCTTCGCATCACGACTGGCCAGTTTCAGCTGACAAGTTGTAGTACGAAGCATACAACGTCATGCACTCTGAGCCTGTAGCATCCATCGCCGTGCCTTCATCAGCAGCACCTGCTCCTCCGGCTCCAGTCGCACCAGAAGTCGTCCCTGAGGTCAAGCAAGAACAGCCTAAGGAACAGCCAGAGCAACCAAAAGAAGCGAAGGAAGAGAACGTGATGTCTGAGCAAGCGGTAGTTTCCCCGCCACCTCAGGAGGCCCCCAAGGATCTACCTGTTGTTTCCAAGGAAGAGCGTATCGAGTACCGCGACGAGAACGGCCGCATCCTCAATGACGATGAGGTATCAGCACTTGCTGGAAAGGTCAGCTTCAAGACGCGTTACGAGACCCGAACCCGTATCGTCGATGGCGAAGGCCACGAGATCTACGAGGGCCTTGTAGACTCGCATGGTGACGCTGAAGAAAACGGTGTCGCACCTCCCCACCCAGACGCCGAAGGCCGTAACCCTGAGACACAAGAGCAGGCCAATGCTCCCGAAGCCAGCGAGGCACCACCTACTGTCGAGGTCGTGGAAGATCAGCAGAAGGAGAAGAGCATTGAGCAGCATCAGGACGATGCTCAGCCAGCAAGTGAGGCTCAATCTGCAACGCAAAAGGATGAGTAAATCCTTTTTCCTTCTTCCCATGGCATTTTCATGGTCTCATTTCTCTCTTTTGTACCATAGGGACGGATACATTTAGCAGCGTACGGAGCTGGTGGCGCTCGGTCTTACACGACAAACACACGTAACGGCAGATGGAAAGTGGATTGCATTTGCCTTGGATCTTGTATGATTACATATAATGTGTTTTGCGAAAATTTGACATCTCACGTCGTATTTGTCTCCGGAACTGAGTTGTACTATATGCATAAAGACAAGCATGACCACTGTGTATGAGTGTGGAAGACAGGAGAACGTTGGCAAGCACGAGAAACATGTCGAAATCATTGCGCCTAGGACACAGTGGCTTGCAAGGCCGGTGCGAGGCACTAGACCTCCACAGGTCCTTGTCAGTTTGCAGTAACTCTTGCGGCTCGGCAACGAAGACACGATAAGCTAGTGACAATGAGTTGCAGACTAAGCCTTGTCGTCCCGGGCTCGAGGACCCTCAGCCTCAGGCTAATTCATCTCATCCGATCTGCCGGATGAACCGCTAGACAGCTCTCCCGCGATCGGATGGCGCGGTGCAAGATGCAGGGAGCGGGTATCCTTCAGCAACTTCACAGACTAGCATCTGATCCCGGGATATGCTCCATCGCACTAGGATTACGTCCAAGACTTGTGATTCGTCATCGGAACTTTTTGCCGCAGTCTTGAGTCCAGGGACCACAGGGGACCACAGGGGACCACAGTGGGCTGGAATACGTTAGCAGCAAGGGTCAAACTGGGGACGCTCTAGATCTAACGTGTGGCCGATCGCTTCTAGGTATTACTTGCACATGCCAGGAGCTTCTTCTTTTTTTCGGGCCTCGCAATGTTAGGAAACCCCACTCCTTGCACCCGGCGGCGAAGTCGGGCATGTGTCACGCAGCAGCTCGGGCAAAGTTACTACAAGTCATGTAATCTGTCCATGATCTCCGCCTGACCACCAGAACCAACACCCTATTTGACACAGATCAACGACATTTTGACTACTAATTCGCCGACAGATCACCTTTGGAGAAAAAAAGGAATTTTCTGGAACATGACTTTTGGGCATGAAGTGCTGTGGCTAGGGTTCGGCAGTAATACGCGTAAGACCCCCAAGTTCTTCCCTGCTTGTCTTGGTGGCAAACCAGAGGAAGTGTCGCGAGCTTCATGTCGCTCTTTGTGGGAATGTTCGCCACTTGCGTTGAGCTAAAAAAGAAGCCTTCCTCCTCGCCGTACTGGCCTCCGCGGAGCGAGATACTCACACACAAACGACATACCAGTGAGGGTTATAAATTAACAATGCGGTCTAGCCGCGCATCGCGTTTTTCCAGATACCCCTCTCACTTGCGCCAGATTCCCATGTTCACGACATCGTGAAACCCTCTTTTCCATCCCTCGACTTTTGTGGCTGCGTTTCTTTCTGGAGAGAGACTGTTCGTCTCCTCCTCTGGTTTTTGTTTTCTTTTCGCGGCTTGAATTTTACTCCCTTGTCTTTTAATTGTACTGCGATCATTGTTGCGCCGCGTTCCTATTCTGCTACCAGGCGTCTCGTCGTCTGCAATGGCGCCTGACTCGCACAGCGCCCACATGGCCGATGGCAACCACATGTGTGCCAACTGCGCGCGCAGCAAAGATGGACCTACACCCACTCAACGGTCGTACGACAACGACAACAACAACAACGTTCACGACGGCGATTCCTACATCCAGCAAAGCATCGAACAGCCCAACCCACCCATGGCCAACATGGTCAATTCCTCCCACTCCGGTCCCTACAGAATCTACATCGTGACCGATACCTGCTACCCCACGGCCGATAGCTTTCAGAACAACGTCGGTACCACGCACATCACATCTGTGCATTCCACAAAAGCGGCAGCCAACAGCCGAGCCAAGAAGATCATCTACGAGAACGACGGCGAGTGTACAGTCGATCTTGACAAGATTATCGAGGAGGTGAAGAAAGGATTATACATTGGGATAGGGGTTGGTGGCAAGGACGAAAAGAGTGGCAGCTGCTTTGCGCGAAAGTGTGAGGTGGAAGGCAAGATTGTGGACGAAGACAGCGATAGCGAGGAAACGAGCGGCGAGAGTGGCGAAAGCGATCTTGTGGATGGCATGGGGGAGGCAGACGGCGATGTGGACATGGGCTGATGAGGAGAATACAACGACACAAACAGCGAACTCAGGAAGCCGCGGCAAACATGGGTAGCAGTCAGGATCTGTTGTCGACACATACGGAGGCGTGGAATTAGAGTCAAGAACGGCTCAGGAAGCTAAGGAAATACAATACCGCCGGGGTACTACAACGACCGTAACAGGCGTTCGAGGTATGGATATTCAAGACCATCGTAGGACGCGGGCTGAGAACTCCCTTGGGTTCCGGTTTGGAAAAAAGGAAACGGACGAAAGAGCAGCCCCCAATAATTGGACAGACACCTCCGGCACATCGAACTATCTATATTGCGCGCTCGTGGTGAAACACGGCGTTTGCATATCGCATAGACACATCAACGGTACACAAAACAAACGAACTGTATATCAGTTTGTAGGAGAGGAGGTCGATCCGGCACTTCGTTGGCTGGACGAGCATGCAAACAATAAATTTATTGTAGTCTCCACTATCAATCGCAATTGACAAGAATGGCTTCAATCCGCGCCCCCTGAGTATCGCGAATGTAGATGCTTACTTGACCAGGTCGAAGCCCTCGCGAGCTCCTGATGCCTGCGCTACGACCGACTGACTCAGAGCCTGGGACAGCTCTCAGTGGCCGTGTTCGTCTTCGAGGCGCCGGTTACGAGAAATTCTTTTCCAAGTAATAGATCCAAGGCGCGTCGAATGCGTTTATGTCTAGCAAAGGCTTTTGTGAGCCTGATACGGACTCGATTATGTCTGGCGGAGTTACGGGCGTGTTCGTCGGCGTTTCTTTTGTATCTAGCAGGTCCTGCTGTTCATCTGGCGGAGCGACCTGTGTCTTGGCTGAGGCCCGTTGTGCGTCTGAGAGTGTCTTTTGTGCGTGTTTGGGAACTTCCGGTGGAGCATGAGAATTTGAAGTTAGAGCATCTCGTTGTCGACAACAGGCGTGTTCGTAGGTTAAGCGTGTTGAATGACTGGTTGCGTTATGGCATTTGCGGACGGCCAAGGGCCAAACCCTTTTAATATGACTTCTTGGAAACCCCGCTCGTCATAATGATACTCCATGTCCAGCGTTCCACGTAGGTTCATCAGGACGATGGAGAGCTCTTCCCCGAAGCTTGTCGAGAATACCATCCGCTTTCCTCCAAGGTCTACTATTTCCTGTGGGTGATTCCCTTCTTCCATCTCTTCTACTTGATCGTTCTCAACTTTGGATATCGTGAATTGTCGTGGTGGCTGGTCCGGCATGTAATGCGTGCAGATGAGCTTGCCTTCCAACTTGTATAACCAGAATCAAACCCCCGGAAACGCTACGGTGACGCGCATGTTGGTCGTAGGTCTTGGAAGGGTTGATAACCGCTGGTTTGCGAGCGAAGGGTATTGATAAAGGTCGGGTTGATAATGTTGATCGTGTTAGCAGCAGGAAGTGCAGAAGTTGCGAAACCAGGTAGGATGAATACGGAAAGATATGGTGCTCATGTCATAGGGAAGCGGCTCATGAGTATATGGCGGCCTTCACGAAGGACGTGAGTAAGGGTAAGCTAGTCTTTTGTAGAGAAAGTGCACCTCGATCAATCCTTTCAGGCAAGTGACATCGTGAGTATTGGTAGCCATGGTTTTTCTTGCTCGGCTCGGAGTGCAGAAGGTAGACAGTGTTACCCTCTGGGATCTCTCGTTATTTGGACGAAGAGTCGCATCAAGCACTGTTTGGACGATACTATGTCAGCTCGGCCATGGGACGTGTGGTGGCCGCAACCTGGCGCACATCAACGGGGTCGATCAATGACCGTTTTCATCTTCCACTTCCAAGGCTTAAGCATCTCTTCAGACTTACGGTAGCGGGTCTCGAAGTTAGTAGCTAAGGCGCGATGATTAAACAATGTTGTGAATGCTGAGTGTGGCTGGACGGTCGGAGGCTGGTCATTGCCAAGAAACGGTGCATCCCCGCCAGTCGTTTCCCCCCCACACATGCGCGCCCGCACGTCATCGAGCGCTTGAAGCAAGAACAGTACCACTACACAACATATGCGTTCCGCCCTCCACGATGCCGTACACACTATCTACATCTTTGCGATATGTCTGCCGGATACTTTCCAAAACGAGAGAAGGTTGGTCTTGAGGACCTTTTCAAAGGCCTAGTCACTGCCTGTCACATCCTCGACCACAATGGTAGGTTCTGGTGTCTGGAGTGCACGTGAAACATACACTAACTTCACGCGTCCACCTCTTCAGGCATCTTCGATGCTTATGGCCATATCTCTGTCCGGTCGCCCGACAATCCCGCGACGTTCTGGATGCCTTGCAATATGCCGCCAGCGTTGGTCAGCTCGCAAGACGATCTGGTCGAATACAACGTCGATGGCGCCGAAGCGGTCGAGAAGGACGCGAAACCAGGTTATCTAGAGCGACACATCCACAGCGAGATATACAAGAGGTTTCCGGCCATCAACAGTGTGGTGCATAGCCATGCCGGCGATGTTCTGCCGTACTGCGTTAGTGGTGTGCCTCTAAAGAACACAATACACATGGCTGGCTTCTTGGGCATGTATCCTGGACCATTATGCCTAGCTTCTTGCTGACAATATCACTGCAGGTACCAATGTGCCAGTCTGGGATGCCTCGAACAGCTACCCCTCCGGTTCGAAGCACGATCTGCTCGTTCGCGACAGCACGCTCGGCGCCTCTCTTGCAGCTGCGTTCAAACCAGCCACGTCGACCGGCTTCATCTACTCCAAAGTACGCTCCGCTCTACCCTCGCAGCTCGGTGGTTCATCTGCAGAGCCAAAGATGGAACCCGATCACGCTGTCGTTCTGCTACAAGGCCACGGCTTCACAACCGTCGCGCATGGGATCGAGGAAGCTGTCTACCAAGCAATATATACGAAGGAGGCAGCCAAGGCGCAGACAACCGCTATGACGGTCCTGAATGCGCATACAGGCTATGCACTCGAGGGCAAGGTCGACGTTGAAGCCGGTGGCAAAATCAAGTCGGGACATGCGAAGGTTGAGGGCGGCAATCTAAAGTATCTGAGCGACAGGGAATGCCACGATGCCTGGGAGTCACTTTCAGGCACTTTGACCAGACCTTGGGCGCTCTGGTGCCGACAGGTGGAAGTTGACCCTTTGTACAGGAATGAGTGCTTAGGCGGCGATGATTGAGCGATCATGGGACGACCAAATCGTATGACTGCTTTCCACAGACAGATTCGCAGTTAGTAATCTTTTTCCTTCTTTTCCGTTATTTACGAGTGCCTCGTCTCCTTTGGAGGCTAAGCTCTCCGCAAACCTTATCCAGTAGAGTCTTAGCCCTTCCAATTTGCGGGCAATTTGCCGCGAACCTCCTCTTATAACATCTCTATCTTAACATGAAACGTCTTTTCCACGCTTCTAGCCGGTATTTCTGACGTTTCTTACTATGTCGCTAGCAGGGTACTTCTCGCAGCTTCGCCAAGTTGTTCCATAGTGCTTGTCTCACAAGCCAAGATCTTCCGCCACTAAAGGCGCATCTTACCCCGGACTCCCCCCTCACGGCACTTTTAGCTCTCAGATCAACACCACCGCACGACATTGTCGATTCGGACGAACGAACACTTCCGTACCGAGGTACATGTACCTAACTCGAATACTATCTGTAATCAGCATTCCTCCCGCCCTCCCGACTTCGTAACTTAGTGAAGCAAGATGTCAGATGACTGTAAAGGTGGCTGCGCTTGGGTAACAGTCGTGGAAAGCATCTGGCTAGTGGATGTCCTGGGTGGAAATTGTTGATGTTTCGGTGCATTTGGCGCCGAGAGTGTTCGCGCAATGTAGTAAGCTCCTGCTGCTGGTATGGAAGAAAAGTCTATAGGTAAGGGATAGAGCCGCCGTTCAATATCGAAGCCGGACAAGTCACTTCAGATTCACCCCATCTATATTCTCGTCAGCTACGTTTCTTGACATGTTACTGAAGAGCGCATTGTTGGCTGCGGCCACATATCCTTCCTCGGTCCTGGCGGCATTCGGCGCTACTAAAAGCGGTGACAACATTGTTGTGGATGCTGGCTCGACGAACGCCCTTGTCTTTACCGTCAACGCGAAGAGCTGCGATATTACATCGATCAAATATCGTGGAGAGGAGTTGCAGTCTTCGTCCAAGGGATCGCATATTTCTTCTGGACTGGGTAGTGCGACTGTCAAGTATGAGACGATAAGCAGTACATTGTATCCTCAAGCCTTCGACGACAGATTCTAACAGAGTCCGACAGGCCAATATGTCAAGGTTACTTGCACGACTAGTACCTTGACGCATTACCTTGTTGCTAAGGCTGGCGAAGCGACGATTTATATGGCGACATACACCACTGCCGAGCCTAGCATTGGCGAACTGCGATTCATCGCGCGTCTCAAGAGTAGTGCTCTGCCACTTGAGTACCCATTCGGCGTGGTATCGACGACCGTTGGTTCGACGTCGACTGTTGAGGGGTCAGACGTCTTCGTGGTCGCTGGTCAGACGAGGAGTAAATTCTACTCAAGTGAGCGTTTCATCGACGACACTACGGTAGGTACCACAGTCAGCATGCTTCAATGAGCTTTTACTGAGTCAACACAGCACTGCGTCTACCTAGACGGTGCCGACGCGGTCCACGCCTGCTTCCTCATGAACTCATATTCTTACGAAGCCTCCTCTGGTGGCCCCTTCCACCGCGATATAAACACTAATAACGGAGGGGAATACACGTCGTTGACCTTCTACATGAACAGTGGCCATGTTCAAACAGAGCCGTTCCGTCAGGGTCTGCACGGCCCCTACGCTCTAGCGTTCAGTCGCTCTGGTGTACCAGAAGGTGGCTCCAATATGGATACGACGTTCTTCAAGGACCTTGGTATAACGGGCTACGTGGCTTCATCCGCTAGGGGAACAGTCACCGGCACGGCGACAGGTGTAGGCTCCAGTTTCCAACGGGTATTGCATTGGTATAACGATGGAGCCCAGTACTGGGCGTACGCCGATAGCAGTGGCAAGTTCACTTCGCCAGCAATGAAGCCCGGAAACTACGCGCAGGTCTTGTATCAGGGCGAGTTCAAGGTCAAGGCAGCTAGCGTCACAGTCTCGGCTGGAAAAGCAACTACCGCCAACATTGCCGCCGACACCGAAACCAAGACCTCCATTTGGCGCATCGGCGAGTGGGATGGTCAGCCAAAGGGCTTTCGAAACGCAGACAAGCAACTGCGCATGCACCCCACAGACTCGCGCATGGCATCCTGGGGGCCCTCGACGTATACAGTTGGTTCCAGCACTCTTGACAGTGTTCCCATGGCCATAGTCAAGGACACCAATCCCTTTACGATCAAGTTCTCGAGCACCTCGACTGCAGCAGCGACCCTTCGCATCGGTACTACACTCTCTTTCGCCGGCTGCCGTCCCTCGGTGACAGTCAACAGCTTTAATGCTGCCGTCCCTGCGGCACCAACGAAGATCGATTCGCGTGGCTTGACTCGCGGCGCCTACCGAGGGTTTGGTGAAGTCTACAATTATGCCATTCCAGCTGGCACGTTGGTCAGCGGGAGCAATACCATCAAGATCAACTGTGCAAGTGGGAGTTCGGGAGAAGGATTCCTGGCCCCAAACGTGATTTTGGATGCGATAGAGTTGTTCAAGTAGGCTCTCGGGCACAAAGGCCTGATTCGGTCACAGTCCCATGGTCTATCGATAGTTGTGTGGATGACGTGTTGTCGTAACATCGTAAGATTGGTCTTCTTAACATTCTTACTTGCACCACTTCTTTTCTTAATCATCGCGCGTTACCGATATATGCATCTTGGATCAAAAACATTCTACTGTGCCTCGGTTTCCTTTAGGCCGAGATGCTATTCGTAGAAATCGAACGAAACTCCTTATTAATCATCCGAGAAGGCTTGTGGGGCAATGCCTGGGAAGGTCATTCTTACAAACCTTCGCATTGGCAAAACATCATTGAAAACGACTCGCCAGGCTAGGTTCCGACGCGATGGACGCAGTATTCACCGTATCATCGCACGAGCAAGGATGAGGCTGTCGGCTCCACCGAGAGCTGTGCAGCTTGTAGTCGTATGTTCTTTCCGCGTACACGGTCGAGGTGTCTTCTTCTGGCAATTCAAAATCTTGATAGGGCAGGTATCCGTTAGCCAATTCCCACGAGTCAGTCACCGGATCAACGCAGCACGCAGTGTTGGCAAAGCTTTGAGGGCTCTGGACCCACCACGAAGGCCCTCGCTGGGGTGGAGTCGATGTGGGAACGTCTATATTCGCTCCCGCTTAAGATGCAGGATCTAGTAATCGCGACAACAAAGACCATACGGGAGTAGCATTAGATGCCGGGAATATGGCACCGGAGGTCGTTTCGAATCCGTCGTAAGCGACAAAGACAGCTGAATAGCTGATATAAGCGGATTAAACGCGTCGCGGGCTTACCGCGGTAATCCAGCGCTTGCTGTTCGTGTCAAGCGACTCGGCTCTTGGTACGGCGTAGTCGTTCGCCCTGCTTTTCGCTAAAGCCAGGGCAACGACAGCCCGGGAAATGAGATCATTTCTGGAGTAGGAAATTCGGCTCGAGACCCGGGTCGCAGTACTTGCTGAAACTTCTGCAGCGTTGACGACAAAATGATCCACCTGGTGTATGCATATAATGTGATCAAATGAGTTGCTAAAAGGGTCGTGTTCTAGTTCTGGCGGAAGCGGTGGATTGTCTGAAGCGTCCGTATCTCATCGTCGATGTGATTATCTTGTCCAAAACTGGTGAAGCATGCATATGGTCTGGATCAAGAAATCCTCGATCTTGAGGCCGTAGGAAAAGAAGTCATCTGGTATCGTTATGCAACTCAGTTTTCTTAATGCTGAGGAATTATCCAACTCAAGCACACATACCTACACTCTGGCCAAAGTCTGCTTATCCATAAGTGAGGAAACTATCAAATACTGATATTATATACCGAACTCGAGTGCCGTTTTGAAAGCTTAGTGCGTCGTATACTCCAAGCAAAGTGCCCGGGAGGCTGCATTAGCTCAAGGCAAGTGACAGGATCCGTGAACTGGGATTAAACCCAACTACCGATGTCAAGCGGCGGGTCACAAAGCGCTAAGATACCTGCATTCGGGAGTTTTAAGCCCTGTCAGTTTGAGAATCGTTCGACTTATCAGCTCAGCAATGGCGCCATGTAATCCGCTGATGCTTGAGGGTCATCAGCGGTGCCACGCTACCGTATGCGAAGGCAGACCGTTATATTTCCGAAGAATTCACTGGGGTATTGAACGTCGTGACGGGCGATCGACGCGCACGGATGAGAGCCCTGTAGAAGTGGCTGAGGTGTCCTGGTGGGCTAGTCTGTCGACACCTCGACCTTGTCGATCCGTTTCCAGTTATCGTAAGCGACAGAAGTCCACATTAACAAAGTCCTGCGGTCGATAAAGATGTCGAAGTCGAGGTGCAATAGCTCTAAACAGGATCGTAAGGCCTCAGTAAGTGTGTGCGTAATCTTTGGGTAAGCGATGGACCAGGCTTCAATATGCATCCATGCAGGCTGCAACAAGCGCAGCTTACCCTTCAGCGTTGTCAATTGTTAGCGGATCGTCGTCTGTGTGTATACGTTGTGCTCAGATGCATGAAGGAAATCCATACACACAGAATGTATGCTGACATTTTGCAACGGATACATGGCGCCAACTTTCGGACAGCGATCATCCAGGGCCACAACTATTCCCAGATATTGTTACAGTAGCCATGTTCAGATATGAACGAAGTTTGGCATTTTTCTCTGGGTGGCATTAACAAATTCGAGAGAAAGCTGTTGAATGGATTGAATGAAAATTTCAGGAAGATGCCTTGTCGGTACTTGAGACGGCCAGTACATGCCGGAGTCATTTTGAGTGGCTCGCCATGGTATAACCCTGCTTTAGCAACTGACTAGGCAAATACGTTGTCAATAAAGGTAACGAGGCGGCGCAGCGCGTATACCAAATGGTAAATGCCATCGCCGATTGTTTGTCAGAGGCCAGATGCGATGCGCTGGCTCTGCGCTGTACGCAGCTCTAACCTCACCTGACAATACTGACTCTGAGCTTTCCGAGCTAGGAATCGGCAGTGTTCTAGGGGGAACTGGTGTTTATCGGGATTAACGTGCCCGGTCGCTTCGCTTGCAGGATG